GCCGCCGGCCCTCCGAACGACGGGGCGCTCGGGCCGGGCCCCTCCCCAGCGGCGGCGACCGGCGCGCCGGCGAACAGATCGTCGTCGGCCGCGCCGCCGGTGCCCTGGGGCGCGGCGGGCGGGGGCGCGGGCTGGCGTCCCTCCCTGATGGCCTTGTTGATCTCTGCTGCGCGCCAGGCGGCGTAGCGCTGCTTCTCAAAGAGGTCGGGCTCCATCTCACCAAACTGGTTCAGCACCTGGGGCGTTGCGGGGATGTGTTGGGGGTGTGTTTGGGGCGGCAGTGGGGCGAGCTGGGGTGTTGTGTGGGCGTTGTGGGGCGTTTTGGGGGGCGTTCTTGGGTCGTGTGGGGCCGCGGGATTCGGCCTCCAGAATCGGACATAGGGAGGGGGAGGGAGAGGATGACGGTGTGCGCCAGGACAGGCGCGCATGCATGATGTGGGGCGGCGTGTGTGGGGGGCGCTCCTCTGTGCGAGCAAGCAACACGGACACCCTTGCGTCGACGTGCGTGCGTGCGTGCGCGCGAGCATGCAAGCAACGTGCGTGAGGGCACAAAAACACCACACCGGCGCGTGCATCCATCCCATGTTCCGAGGCACGCTGCGCGGGCGCGCGAGAGGGGGCGGCGCTCACGTCATAGAACACGGACGAGGCCCAGAAGGCGCGCGCGGTGTCGATGTTGGCGCGCCCGGCGCGGTCCACGCGGTTGGCGCGGCGGAATATGTTGGAGGCGAAGCTCTCGCAGTGGTACCTGGGAATGGGTGTGTGTGTGTGTGTGTGTGTGTGTGTATGTATCGTCGTCTTGATCAGGAGGGTGTGCGCACAGAAGAGCGAGTGCGTGCAATCAAAACTATTGTGTGTGGCGCCTTGGAACCGTGCTTGTGTGGAGGCGTGTGTCCGTTGGCGCGAACGTGCCAGGGAAGGTCGCGCAGGATCGACGCCGAGGCGCCCGCTGGCAGCGGCGCCTGGCGGTTCGAGGGCGCCTGGCGGGTGGAAAAGTATCAGGCGAAAGTTGCGGGCTGCCTCGTGTGCAGCCCCCCCTGCCCCGCACGCTCCTTGCTGCCAGCCACGCGAGCCTGGCAGGCCCACCGACCCACAGCACCCCGCTGCTTTCAAATTTACAGCACCCCGCCGCTCGCACCCAACTGCTGAGGCCGGCCCCCCTAGCAAGACACACCCGCTCCCGCCCGCACACGCGTCCAGGGGCGGCAAACAGTCACAAGCGCGCATCCCGCTGCCCTCAGACGCACTTGTCGCCCTCTGGGTCGAGCGGCGCCACCCTGGGCTTGTCCTTCTCCAGCTGAATCAGCAGCGCCCTCAGGAGGCCATCAATCTCCTTGTGGCGGTTCGTGATCTTCAGGGCCTGAGATTCGGAAGCCGGGGGGTCGGGTGTGGCATAGATGCGCCGCATCGGGGCGCGACGAGAATGTGTATCGGCGGGTCATGTGACCGGGGCGGAAGGCAGGGGCGCCGCACCTGATCCACGGCCCACAAGCGGCAGTAGTAGGCCACCTTGAGGTCAACCGCCTGCACCTCCTCCGCGCGCTGCATGGGTAGGGGTGAAGCGGGCATGGATGGCGCCCGACATGCCAGGCACCGGCAGGTGGGTCGGGCGCGCTGGCACCGAGGCAAGCTCCGCGGCACGCGCCGCAGCGTGCTGCACTGTTGCGCGGTCACGTGCAAGGATAGGCGGAAGAAAATACAGTTACCTGAAGGTAGGGAAGCACAAGCTTCTTCTGCGCCTCTAGATCGGCCATTTCGGCAGGCTCTCAAGACCGATGCAAGCCCCTACTTTTCGAGCATAGCAAATCGTTCAACCAAATAGACAGGCCTTGCAGGACACCCCCGCGATCGTTTTCGAGCTTGTCATTACTGCAGCTTCCCACTTCATTGCAGCGCTCCGCTGCTGGTGTCAAAGCGGCGTTCTGTCCGTCGCCTCCTCGCACAGCGGCCGCGCCACCGCCCAAGCAGAGACTGCAGTGTCTAGCCTTAGCTCACAAGGAAGCCGCAAGGGCGCCAGCTGCTTGCAGCAGCCCGGAGAGCGGCGAACAGTCGGCCGTAGCAACTCGCAGGGCGGCCAGGAGGGCGGGCGGCCAGGAGGCACGGCGCCGCGGCGGCAGGCCGCACGCAGCCGCATGCATGCTACTCTCTGCGGCGGGCGTCGCGGCACTGGGGACGCTCGTGGCATGGCTAGTTGCGAGTGAGCACCCTGCCACCAGCCGCACCCTGCCTGCCGCCCAGCCAGCCGTCCTCACGCCAGCGAGAGGCAGCTGCAGGCCTCCCCTTTGCATGTTGTTTGTCGCACGGCTGCTCAGCCACGATGGCCGCCCGACGCTCCGCCCCGCGCACCCGCAGGTCAGCACGGGTTTGCGCCCAACGCGTGTGCCGGCGTCGAGTCTTACCTAGCCGCTGAGGTCGTCGGCCAAGACCTGGCCATACGGCAGCTCACAGACGCCGTCTGCCACCACCTGTCACGCCCCCGCCCCGGGCGCCCACTCATCATATCCGCCCACGGGCCGCCCGGCGTCGGGAAGACGCTGAGTCACCAGCTGCTGGCGCGCGCGCTGTACAGCTCCCGGCCGGCCGGCGCGCTGCAGTGCCCGGGCCGCCACTGCCGCGGGTACAAGGTCCGCGCCATGCACGTCGGCAGGACCTCTGCGCTCGGGGCCGCCCCATGCGCATGCCCTACAGTTGCGCTCGCATGGCCTCACCTGCAGCCTGTGCGGCACTGGTACATGCATCACATGCCCCTGTCCCTTTCCGGCCCGGACACCTCCTCATCACGTAACCCTTAGGTGTTCTACGGGATGGATTACTTAATCGCCGAGAAGGGCGCCCGCCTGGAGGCGCTGAAGGAGCAGCTGCTCGCCCACCTGCGAGTCACCGCAGAGGCGCTGGTGGTCATTGAGGAGTATGACAAGCTGGACTGTGAGGCCCGCGGACTGTGGCGGCAGCTGCTGCAGCACCCTGAGCGGCTCAACATCACGTGGGACCGGTGGGCAGGGCAGGACGAATTGTTTTGCCCCCAGGGGGAGAGGGGGCGCGCCGCTGCTGCGCCCGCTCCAGTTGCCGAGGCGGCCGCGCGGCCGCTATCCGGAATGGCAGCTGGCGGGGCGGTCGCTGCACTGGTCTGCACTTGGTCACGCGATTGACGGCGGCCAGGGCCCCCTGAACAGCAGCACTTTGAATGGCGCTGAAACCTCTGATGTGCTAGTCAAAATTGCGTCATCAATCCCTCAGCTTTGGCCATGACCGGCCGCGGTGATCCCTGTGTCAACCGCTGGCCCCGTCAGGTCGATCGTTCTGATGGAGTCAAACCTGGGGATGTCAGAGCTGGAGCGACTCATCAGCAACGCGGGGGACAGGACAAAGGTGACGCTACGCGGCGACTCAGCGGGCGGGGGCCGTGCGCGCGGCGGGCCCATGCGAGGGATGGGGGAGGGACGAAGGCAGCTTGGTATTGCAGAGGGCTGGAGGGATTAGCAGGTTGTGCAAGTTTGATGTGGCGGAGCCATCTGTCACCAGAGCTACGCCCCAGAGGGGCCCGCCGCCCCAAGCAGACCACCCGTCGCTCGAGTCCCCTCGCCAGCACACACCCGCACGCACGCGCGCACACACGCACGCACGCACGCACAACGCGCGCGCACACACACACACACACACACACACACACACACACACACACACACACACACACACACACACACGCCCGCACGCCCGAATGCCTGCAAGCCCGCACGCCCGCGCCCACGCACACGCACACGCGCACGCACACCGCCAGGTCACCGCAGAGGGTGCGGAGCGGGCGCTGCGTGACCTGGTCTTTGACCACTGGCAGCGGTCCGGCTGCGAGTCATTCGAGGACACCCTCAAGCTGACGTCACTGGTGGACTTCTACCTGCCGTACCTGCCCCTGGAAAGGGCGCACGTCGCCGAGCTGGCGCGGAGGGCGCTCGGCTACAGGGGGCGGGAGCTGCGGGTGGCTAAGGGGCTGGGGCTGGAGTGGGGGGAGGAGGTGGTGGAGTTTATCGTGGATAAGGTGAGGGAGGCGGGATGGTCGTACGGC